TTTTATTGATTGAAAACATCAAAACATTTTATTTATTGGTGCTTTAGTATATGTAAATGATGACAAAGGAAAATCATCCCTTCCAATACTCTAAAGTTGTGCATCATGAGGTTCCTTAATCATGTTGAAGCAGTTGATTTCCATTTCATTGCTTTGAAAGATGACTTTTGCTCTGAGATACATAGTTGAGACATTTTATTCTTCTTGAAATGGAATAAAACAACCATAAAAATGTAATAAAACAGCCACCTCCGCTTTAAACCAACAAGATCAACAATTTCAGTAATTACGTGGCAACAAAGATCCATGCACCAAGTTAATAGATATACAGAAATTAAGGAATAGTCTTTTATTCTTCTTGAAACCTCAGTTATTATAACATCGAGCATGAAGTTTATCCTGCTCAACCACTGTTTTTTTCTCTTTGTTTTATTGGATTAAATCTAATTATGGGCACATACGTTAAATTATTGTGTAATGCTATCTTTAAAGTTAACCCGCATAAAATGATCAATCAATTAATTAGGTTAATGAGTATTTAAATATATCATGAGCTAATTGTGTAGATACCAGATTACAAGTCTAATTTGATGAGGGGCCAAATTAGAAAATAGCAATATCTATATAAAGGGGTTATGGTCCCTAATCTAAGGGTGACGTTCTCTGTTTTCTTAATTCCCATCTAGAGAGAAACAAAAGGAGAGACCCTTTAGATTAGAAGATCTCAAACCCTAATTCAGAATTTCTTCATGGATTCAGGTAAGCTTCCGCTAATTCTTCTTGTTAATATCCTCTTTGAATTAATCATGGTTCTTATTTATATTGTATGATTAAGATCGAATAAGGATAACATGTTTACCCAAAGATAAACAACCAATGATGACTCGAGTCTTCCGTTAAGAATTCTAAGCCACTCGTTTGTTGAGGGGAAAGACCAGATCCAACGCTGCTTCTCTCGCGTTCGATCTGGCTTCCAATGGTTGACGAGTAGCAATCTTAACCTGAACATCAACATGTATATACCTTAAGGCCCCGTTTAGCAAAGAGTTAAGGAAAAGGGGTTAAAGAGAAGGATTAATGTACTTAGCACTTTCGATAATCTGAAAAACTAAATTATTAACCCGTTAAATAAGTTTTATTTTAGCTCTTGTGATCAGTTTTAGTGTTTGGGAATAACAATGATTTTGACTATTTTCTTTATAATTAGAAGGGTTAACTTTTAATCCTTCTAAACAGGAGTATTAGTAAACCCCTAATTTTGAGGGGTTAACTCATTTTAATCCCTCTAGAGGGGTTAGCTTAACGCTTCTATATTTTTTATGTTTGGTAAATTATGAATGGTTAAAAAAACATGGGTTATAGTGCATGAAATCGTGAATATTCGCCATTTTGAAATTATTTCCTAATGGGTTGAAATGATAAAAAAGCCAAAAATCATAGTTTATAGCTCATAAAATAGTAAAATTTGGCATTCACGAATTTATTTGCTAACAAGTTGAAATGACAAAATATTGCAACAATTCATGGGTTATAGTTAACGAAATCATGATTTTTTGGCAACTACAGAATTACTTGCCAAAGAATTGAAAGAACTAAAAATGGAAAAATATAATGGGTAATAGATCACGGAATTGTTGCAAAATTATTTGTCCATTATTGAAGTGACTAAATATGGCCAAAAATATGGATTATAGCTCAACAAATCGTGAATTTTGATCTTTGCAAAATTATTTACTAAAGAATTGAAACAACCAAATATGGCCAAAAATTGTGGGTTACATCTCAAGAAATCTTGATTTTTGGCACTAGCGAAATAATTTGCCAAAGAATTAAAACATTAAAAAATAGCAAAAAAACCATGAAATATAGGTCACAAAATTGTGAATTTTGGCATTCTCCAAATTATTTGCCAACGGGATGAAATGAATAAAATGGAATGAGTTATAGCTCACAAAATCTTGACTTTTTCCCTCCATAGAATTATTTACCAAACAAGTAAAATAACTCAAAAAGGCCAAAAATATAGGTTATATAGCTTATGAAATTGTGATTTTTGGCCTGCGATAAACTATCAACCAACAAGTCAAAATGAGCAAAAGTGGCCAAAAATCATGTGTTATTGCTCATGAAATAGTAAATTTTAATTTCTATGAAATTATTTACTAATGATTTGAAATAATTAAAAATTGCTAAAAATTATGGATTGTAGCTCATGAAATCATTATTTTTAGCCTCCGCGAAACTATTAGCCAATAGGTCGAAATGAGTAAAAGTGGATGAAAATCAGGGTTATAGCTCATTAAATAATGAATTTTAGCTTTCACAAAATTATTTATTGATAGCTCAAAGCATCTAAAAATTGTCAAAAATTTGTCAAATTTCACAATTTCATAAGCTATAAACCATGAAATTGCAATTTTAAGCTTCTGTGAAATTATTTGCCAAAGAATTAAAATAACTAAAAATAGCAAAAAATCATGAGTTGGTCACGAAATTAAAAATATTAGCCTTTATGAATTTATTTACCAACGGGTCGTGATAAAAATGAAAAAAATATTGGATTATAGTTAATGAAATCGTAAATTATGTCTCTTCTGAAATTATTGTCCAACAATTTGAAACGACTAAAAATAGCCAAAGATTATGGGTTATAGCTAAAATTATAAATTTTGGTCTCCGCAAAATTATTTGCTAATTGGTCAAAACAACTAAAAATTATGTGTTATAGCTCATGCAATCATAATATTTGGTCTCTATGAAAATATTTGCCAATGGGTTGAAATTAATAAAAATAGATAAAAATTGTGGGTTATAGCTCATAGAATCATGATTTTTGAATTGTGAGAAATTATTAGCTAACGGATCGAAATGACTGAAAATAGCTAAAAACCATGTATTAAAGGTAATGAAATTGTGAATTTTGGTTTACACAATTTTTTTGCCTACAGGTTGAAAAGACTAATAAAGACAGAAATTATAGATTATAGCTCACGAAATTGTAAATTTTCGCTCACCATGAAATTATTTGCCAATATGTTGAAACGATAAAATATTGCCAAAATTCGTGGGTTATAGCACCTTAAATTGTGATTTTTAGCCTTCATGAAATTATTTTCCAAGGAATTAAAATAACTAAAAGTAACCTAAATTTGTGGGTTATTGCTTAAGAAACTATAAATTTTAGCTTCCACAATTGCTAATGCATCGAAATGGCTAATAATTGTTAAAAATCATGTGGTATAGTTCATGAAATCGTGAAATTTAACCTCCATGAAACTATTTACAAACGCGTCGAATACTCAAAAAAGGCTAAAAGTCATAGTTTATAGCTTATGAAGTTATGAATTTTAGCTTCCATGAAATTATTTGTCAACAGGTCGAAATGACTAAATATGGCCAAAAAACATGGAATATAGTCGACGAAATCATTATTTTTAGCATTCGAAAAACCATTTGCCAAAGAATTGAAGAAACTAAAAAGGGCAAAAAATCATGA